ACTCCACACAAAAGGGATTCCCCAGTCCTGGTTTAGTCCTAATTTAAACCTGGTTCAGTCCTGGTTCAGTCCTGGTTTAGTCCTGGTTTAGTCCTGGTCTCTGTACAAAATGACAGGGTTTGGTGGATGGAGGGAGGGACGTGACAAAAGGAGAAACAGAACGTGGCATTAAGTTAAGAGACAAAAACCAGGACTAAACCAGGACTAACCCAGGACTAAAACAGGACTAAACCAGGACTAAAGCAGGACTAAAGCAGGACTAAACCAGGTCTAAGCAGGACTAAACCCAGGACTAAACCAGGACTAAACTAGGACTAAACCAGGGACTAAACGCAGGACTAACCCAGGACTAAAGCAGGACTAAACAGGACTAAAGCAGGACTAAAGCAGGACTAAAGCAGGACTAAACCAGGACTAAAGCAGGACTAAAGCAGGACTAAAGCAGGACTAAACCAGGACTAAAGCAGGACTAAAGCAGGACTAAACCAGGACTAACCCAGGACTAAAAAAGGACTAAAAAAGGACTAAAGCAGGACTAAAGCAGGACTAAACCAGGTCTAACCCAGGACTAACCCAGGACTAAACCAGGACTAAACTAGGACTAAACCAGGACTAAAGCAGGACTAACCCAGGACTAAAGCAGGACTAAAGCAGGACTAAACCAGGACTAACCCAGGACTAAACCAGGACTAACCCAGGACTAAACCAGGACTAAACCAGGTCTAAACCAGGTCTAAACCAGGACTAACCCAGGACTAAACCAGAGACTAAACCAGGACTAAACCAGAGACTAAACCAGGTCTAAACCAGGTCTAAACCAGGTCTAAACCAGGTCTAAACCAGGACTAACCCAGGACTAAAGCAGGACTAAACCAGGTCTAAACCAGGACTAAACCAGGTCTGGACCTTTTTTGTCTCCTGAATTTCCAATGGAGATGATTGACAGGTGGATCAACCAATCAGAGACTCACACAGGGTCTGATCTGCTCTGTGGTTGTGTCCTTTGGCAAGACACTTCGGCTCGACACGTTTCATTTGAGTCTCTCCAACGTTCATGTTTATAAAGCGCAACAAACAGAATCCTAAGTTTAAACTGCAAATTTAAATTAAACTAAATCAAAACTCTGAAGAATTATGATTTAAGTTCTTGTTTATTGCTTTGTTTACTTGTTTACACATTTATTTACTTGTTTGATTACTCGCTTGTTTCCTCGTTTCCTCGTCTGTTTACTCATTTGTTGACTCATTTTTCACGTTTACCCGTTTGTTTACATGTTTGTTTGTGCTTCTTTACTCATTTATTTGTTTACTCGTCTGTTTACTCATTTGTTTAGTTGTTTACTCGTCTGTTTACTCATTTGTTTAGTTGGCTCATTTGTTTACCCATTTGTTTTCTCACCTGTTTACTTATTTGTTGACTTGTTTGTTTGTTAACTTGTCTGTTTATTAGTTTGTTTGTTGACTCTTTTGTTTACATGTTTATTTACTCGTTTATTTACTCGTCTGTTGACTCGTTTGTTTATTTACTTGTTTGTTTTCGTGGTTTGTTTGCAGAACCACAGCTGAAGGGGATCGTGACGCGGCTCTTCTGCAGACAGGGCTTTTACCTGCAGATGGCGCAAGACGGAACTCTGGACGGAACCAAAGACGACAGCACCAACGCAAGTAAACAAACAAACAAACAAACAAACTACACATCCATCTACAACCAAAGACGACAGCACCAACGCAAGTAAACAAACAAACAAACAAACAAACAAAATATACATTTACACCACTGGTCAAGAGTTTTAGAACATCACACTTTTTCCAGTTTTTTCCAGTTTCCTGTTTGACCCAAACATTTTCTAAACTACTGACGTGAGAGGACTAAACCAGGACTAAACCAGGACTGAACCAGGACTGACTAAACCA